ACAACCTACAGACAGGGAAAAAAATTTTGGCTACGACAAATCCAGTCAGTGTCTAATCTCTAACTAATATCTACAAGATACTGCAAAACCTCAACAACAACAACAAAACCCAATTAAAAAATGTGCAAAGGATATGAACAGTCAGTTTGCCAAAGAAGACAATCAGGTGGCTAACAAACACATGAGGAAATGTTCATGATCATTAGTCATTAGAGAAATACAAATCAAAACTATAATGAGATACCATCTCACCCCAACAAAGCTAGCATTAATCCAAAAAACACAAAACAATAAATGCTAGAAATGCTAGAGAGGTTGTGGAGAGATTGAACACTTACACAGTGCTGGTGGGAATCTAAAATGATACAACCACTTTGGAAATCGATTTGGTGCTTCCTTAAAAAGCTAGAAATTGAAGTACCATATGATCCAGCAATCCCGCTCATTGCAATATATCCTAGAGAAGTAAGAGCCATCACACGAATAGATATATGTACACCCATGTTCATTGCAGCACTTTTCACAATAGCAAAAAGATGGAAACAACCTAGGTGCCCATCAATGGATGAATGGATAAACAGATTATGGTATATTCACACAATGGAATACTAATCAACGATAAAGAACAACGATGAAGCCATGAAACATAACATGGAGGAACCTGGAGGACATTATGCTGAGTGAATTTAGTCAGTCACAGAAGGACAAATATTGTATAAGACTACTATTATAAGAACTCAAGAAAAGGTTTAAACACAGAAGAAAACATTCTTTGATGGTTATGAGGGTAGGGAGGGAGGGTGAGGGTTATTCACTAACTAGATAGTAGACAAGAATTATCTTAGATGAAGGGAAGGACAGCAAACACTATAGGGGAAGTCAGAAAAACCGGACTAAACCAAAGCTAAGAAGTTTCCTGAATACAATCAAACATTTCGAGGGACAGAGTAGCAGGGGCGGAGGTCTGGGGACTATGCTTTCAGGGGATATCTAGGTCAAATGGCATAACAAATTTTATCAAGAAAATGTTCTGCATCCTACTTTGGTGAGTGGCATCTGGGGTCTTAAAAGCTAGCAAGTGGCCATCTAAGATGTATCAATTGGTCCCAACCCATCTGGAGTAAAGGAGAATGAAGAACACTATAGACACAAGGAACATATTAGCCCAAGAGACAGAAAGGGCTACATAGACCAGAAACTTCATTAGCCTGAGACCAGAGGAACTGGATGATGCCTAGCTACCACCAATTACCACCCTGACAGGGAACACAACAGAGAGTCCTCTATAGAGCATGAGAAAAGTGGGGTGCAGAACTGAGATTCTAGTAAAAACACCAGACTTAATGGTCTGCGGAGACTGGAGGAACCCCAGAAAACATGGCTCCCAGACTCTCTGTCTACCCAGAACTAAATTCCTGAGGCCAACTCTTTAGACAAAGATTGGACTGGACTGTGGGACATGAAATGATTATTTGTGACTAGTGTGCTTCTTAGCTCAAGTAGACACACGAGACTCAATGTGCAGCTCCTGTCTGGAGGTGAGATGAGAAAGCACAGAGGGTCAGGAGCTGGTTGAAGGGACACAGAAAATCGGGTGGAAAGGAGTGTGCTGTGTCACAGTATAGGGAGAGCAATTAGGGTCATGTAACAATGTATGTATAAATTTTTTTACGAGAGACTAACTTGAATTGTAAACTTTCACTTAAACTACAACAATGAATAAAATAAAAAGGTCTTTTGCAGCAGATTTGCCCAACGAAATGCATCGTTTGTTTTCTTGACTGCTGCTCCCGTGGGTGTTGATTGTGGAGCCAAGTAAAATGAAATCCTTGACAACTTTAGTCTTTTCTCCGTTTATCATGATGTTGCTTATTGGTCCAGTTGTGAGGATGTTTGTTTTCTTTATGTTGAGATGTAATCCATACTGAAGGCTATGGCCTTTGATCTTCATTAGTAAGTGCTTCGAGTCCTCTTCGCTTTCAGCAAGCAAGGTTTTGTCAACTGCATATCACAGGTTGTTAATGAGTCTTCCTCCAATCCTGATGCTGCATTCTTCTTCATATAGTCCAGCTTCTTGGATTATTTTCTCAGTATACAGACTGAATAAGTATGGTAAAAGGATACAACCCTGATGCACACCTTTCCTGACTTTAAACAGCATTGTACTTCAGGATAGATCTTGAAATGTTCTTTTTGACAATGAATGCAATGCCATTCCTCTTCAATTTGTCATTCCTGGCATAATAGACCATATGATTGTCCAATTCAAAACGACCAATACCAGTCCATTTCAGCTCACTAATGCCTAGGATATTGATGTTTATGCATTCCATTTCATTTTTTATGATTTCCAGTTTTCCTAGATTCATACCCCGTACCTTCCACATTCTGATTATTAATGGATGTTTACAGCTGTTTCTTCTCATTTTGAGTCGTGCCTCGTCAGCAAATGAAGGTCCCGAAAGCTTGACTCCATCCACATCATTAAGGTCAACTCTACTTTGAGGAGGCAGCTCTTCCCCAGTCATATTTTAATTGCATTCCAACCTGAGGGGCTCATCTTCCTGCAGTACATCAGACAATTGTTCTGCTGCTATTCATAAGATTTTCACTGGCTAATTTTTTTCAGAAGTAGACAGCCAGGTACTTCTTCCTAGTCTGTCTTAGTCTGGAAGCTCAGCTGAAACCTGTCCACCATAGGTGACCCTGCTTGTATCTGAATACCATTGGCATAGTTTCCATAATCACAGCATTAGATCTCACAGAGTGAAATCAAAAGCTCCAAAGAGTTACAGGCATCCATGCAATATTTGTATTTTTAAACCAGGAACTAGCAACATAATATTCTGATTGGTGCTTAGTGATATAGTTGAGGGCGGGATATCTGGAAATGGGGAAACTTCTGTGATTTGCTCAAAGGCTAGATGTGGGTTTTGTTTTGAGAACAGGTGGTAAAGATTAACTTGCTTAAGGGAAAGTTCTCTGGAGAACATTTCACACAATGGGTTTTGTTAACTCCCTACCCCTGGTTTCACATGATACTTTTGACATTGGTAGCCTAGCTAAAGCTTTTAAGAAGGCAGTATGTGCTCAAACATTGTAAAGAATAGAAAAATTGAAATGTTGCTAGGACAATCGCAAGATCAGAGAGCCATGACTAAGACCTCTAGAGTCTTGGAAACAGGACATGTTCATTAATCTTCTCTTGTTTTCTGAAAGGACAAATTTCAAATATTTTAGTGAGCCTGATCACCTAAATACAATTATGTGAAACTAGACAGCTGCTTCTAAAGTTTAGTTGCAGTTTGAGAAAAACATTTTCTTGGTGTTTCAGTAGCCTATACAAAGATTAACTGTTGCTAAGGAAAAAAGCAGGACAAGTAAAATGCGGTCTGAAAAGATACAAGGTGGAGTTGGACTTAAACCTGAGCCAGCCCTCCTCAGAAGTACCAGGCATCCTAATTTTAAAATCCCTTACGCAGGAGGGACACCTCTGTTCCTGCATCCACTCTGCTCTGTGACTACAAGCCCAGCAGGTACAGGTGAGCAAAACCAGACAGCCCTGCCGAGTAGGCATCAGAGTATTGGCTGCATCCCTTGGAACAATGTTCTAGGCTGAAAATGCCCAATACCGACAATTTCATCTGGTTCAATCTAATGACATTGCTGCTGTGATAAGTGCCATGAAGAAGACACATGTGGGGCTAGGCAGCCGGCTGGAGATGCTGGAGAGTAAGGAGGGTGGGCCATGGCCCCTGTGAGTCTTGTTCTGTGTCCTGATAGCAGTGGGAAAGCAAAACATTTTAAAATAGAGGCAGGGCAGGGCACGATCTGAAGAAATGGCTACTTTGTGGAGGACAGAAGGGGCAAGCTTGGAAGCAGGGAGCCAATTAGGAAGCCACTTACAGGTGTCAGGAGTCCTTGGGTGGTACAATGAATGCATTCAGCTGCTAAGCAAAAGGTTGGAGTTTTGAGTCCACCCAGAAGTGCCTCAGAAGAAAGGCCTGGTGATCTACTTCCAAAAAATCAACCATTGAAAACCCCACGGAATAGTTCTACTCTAACACACGTGGGTCACCTTGGGTCAGAGTCGACTTGACAGCAACTGGTACAGTGTCCAAGAGAGGCATGATGGAGGATGAAGCAGGAGGCGCCCTGAGCACTGCACCCAGTGCCCAGGACCAGAGGCTTGGAGTCGGGAGCCTGCAGCCCTGGCTCACAGTGACTGAGCAAGGCCAGCTCTTTCCCTGCCTGGCCATGCCACCACAGAGAGACACCAGACAGGCAGATAGAAAACCAGCATGTTTAATGTCAGTCCTTAAGTAAAAAAGACTTTGTACACACTGCACACACATTTACAGGCCTTTGGGGAGGTCCCAGGGAAATGGCACTGGACGAGGGCTGCAGGAGCATCCATCTGGGACAGGAATGAGGTATGTTGGGGCCTCCAGGGCCTGGGGCTTCCAAGGCCTGGGGTCTCCAGCAGGAAGCACCTCCCCTCCCCAGCTTACTCTGGTCCTTTTGGCCTGGATCCCAGAGAGAAGAACTCCAGGATCACCAACTGGAAGGCAGCCAGACTCAGAGCCAACTTCTCGAGAGAGGGCCCTGTCCATGGCCCAGTCGCCCAGCCAGGGTAAAATGCCATGGACCCTGGCACTGCTGCTCCAGTGTTAGCCCTTGCAGAAACCCTGCTGCAGAGAATGCAAGGACATTCCGGCTTCCCCAGCTGAAGTCCTGTCCTGAGGCGCAGCTGGGTCTCCCCATGACCTGCACACTTTAGGTAATGCCAAAGCCTCCCCTGCCCTGTCTGGGACCATTGCTGGCAGGTATCCACAGCCTGCGTGGCCCACCCTGCTCTTATGGTGGCAACACCCCACCGTCCCCAAGGAGACACAGCCCATCCCTTGCCCAGGGCCCACTGCCACAGAGTTGGCGGTAGGTATCTGGCTGATGTTCGAGGCCTGGCAGGGGTCAGAGCTCTGAGAGAATGCAGGCCAGGGTCAGTGGAAAATGTTGGCAGCCTCGGCACAGCCAAAGAAGTCAGGGCCCACGAGGCGGGGGAAGCCCTCCAGGGTCTTCACCTTCACAGGGTCAAACTTCCAGTAGAGGCGGCCCTGCAGGAAATAAGCATAGCCTGCAGAGAGAAGACAGTCAGAACTAGATGCATGGACGCTGCGGCCCACACCTGGGCTGGCACCGAGGGGAGGGCTGGGAGGGCAGCCTCAGTTACTGTTGGTTCCTTGAAGCCTGTAGGCCTGAGAGAGGGGAGCCCCTACCAGCTCCGCTCTGGCTCCCTTCCCTCGGGGAAGCCCTCCCAGTCTGAGCCCAGCTACTGCTTACCCGGCCTGACAGATTCCTGGAGCCCTCAGAGCCCCAATCCCTACCTCTCAGGAAAGCAAGTCCTGCTCCCCTGCCATCCCCAACCTCCATGTCACTCTCTAGGCCTACACCCACCACCCGATTACAGACAGGGTCCTGAGGCAAGGTGGGCAATACAGGAGCCAGAGGCCACACAAGACAGCTCACCAGCAGACCCCAGTGTGGGGGGGGGACACAGGAAAAGGGTGGGCAGAGCACTGGACTGAAAGCCCAGACTTGCTCTCGTCCTTAGTGCTCACAGGAGGCCGGAGGGCAGACTGGTTAGGAGCAGGGACTCCCCAGGTGGGGGTCCTGGCTTCCACTTGGGTGGCCCCAGTTAGGGACCTCACTGCCTGAACCTCTGTTTGCTTCTCTGGAGACTGGGCCACTGACAGGTCTTACCTCAGAGGGTTCTGTTGACAATTGCAAGAGATCATACATATAAGGAGCTCTGCTGGCTGGAGCATGGCCTGCTCAGTGTGCAGTGGTAACTATTTTACCATTATGACTGAGGCACCAGGCAAGTCCTGGCACCTCTTTGGCTCTCAGTCTCCTCATCTGCAGGCCACGAGGGAGTGGGGTGGGGAGGGCGTTGGAACAGGGACCTGAGATGAAGGCCCCCTGGGACAGGTGGAGGGCACCCACCCCTGCTGGCTGCCACCCCTAATCCCTGACAGCCGGCGGCTCCACACACCGTCAGCGTCCTGGAAGGCTGCGTCGATCTCTGCGGGCACCCCTCGCCAGTCGGTGGCCCGGTGGGGCACAGGGCTGTCCACTCGACTGGTGCTGGGGTGGAAGCGCCAGTAGTCCCCGCCATGGAAGAAGTAGATCTTATTCTTCTCGGGACCCCAGACCAAGGCGGCATGGACCGGGGACCCCACCAGGCCCAGCTCAGAGAGGGGTGCAGGGCCCAGGACCGGCTTCTCACCGTTGTACACCCAGTACTGAGTGCCTGCGAGGAGAGGAGCTTGCAACAGAGCAGCCAGCCCCCGCCCCCCACCTCGCCACCATGGACCTGCCCAGCCTGCTTCCTCGTCCGCAAAACAAGCATGCCAACTGGGGCAGTGGAGATTCCACACCACACCACCTGAGCGAGGCTACTCGAATCAGCAGAGGCCACCAGGGCTCCAGCACCTCCCCCTTGACACGTAGCTGCAGTGACGGGTCCAGCTCACCACTGGGCTCCTGACCACTCCCTGGGCCCTGCCCTGCCCCAGTAGCCCCTGGCCGCCCCAAGTCCTGAGAGCACTCCCTGCTGGACCTTTGTTTGTGGCCCTGCCACCTGGACCACGCCAGGCTCTCATCTCTTTGAGTCAAAAGCACAGGCTCCAGGGTGAACCGGAGCCTTTCCAGGCTTGCCCTTGGGTGAGTCACTTACCCGTCTGAGCTCCAGAGGCCTTATGTGCACAAAACCAGTTGCTACTGAGTCAGCTTCGACTCATGGCAACCCCATGCGTGTCAGAGTAGAACTGCTCCATGGGGTTCTCATGGGCTGATTTTTCAAAAGTAGATCACCAGGCCTTTCTTCCAAGGTGTCTCTGGGTAGACTCGAACCACCAACCTTTCAGTTAGCAGCTGAGCACTTAACCCTTTGCACCTCCCTGGGACTTCTTCATCTGCACAACGGGGGTAATAATCACAGACACCCCCTCCCACGGGGCAGTTGTGAGGGTTAACACAATAACCCTCAGGTCACTGTGCAAGCAGCTTCTAGGCTATTCCTATCTCGAAAGCTGCCTCCTCTGGGAGTCCCCCAGCTATGCCCGGGGAGTGCTCCATGCTCGCCCTTGGCCCTGAGGTTTCAAGTCAGCTTCTCCCTACCCATTGTGTCCCTGGGGACCTGTCTGTGTCCCTCCCCTTGGTGGTGACATTCCTGGCCCTGAGAAGCCCCCCAAGCCCAGCTCCCTGCCCCTACTCACCTTGGAAGAACCAGATGTGGCCCTGGGCATCCTCAAAGGCGGCATCCACAGGGCTAGGCAGCCCCCGCCAGTGGCGAGAGGCTAGCGCAGGATAGCCGGGCTGCAACCGGCCTCCACGAAGCCGCCACACGAAGCCCCTTTTGAAGAAGAAAAGCTCGCCACGGATGGTGGAGACTGCATCAAAGGAGGCCTCACAGGCATCTGGTGGGGCTTCCGGCTGCAGGGAGAGGGCAAGGAAAGGGCCACACTGGAGTCACGGGGGCCAGGGTGCCCAGACCCAGAGCTGGGAGCCAGGCAGCAGGGCCTCACTTCCTGTCTCCCACCCTTCAAGCCTCACCTCCAGCGGGGCAATCTCATTGGTGTCCACATCAGCCTGAGGGCCCAGGGCTGGGGCACTGGGGGCAGGGGATGACCAGGGCCGGCCATATAGGTGCTGGATGCCCCTTCGGTCATCTGGGCTGAGGCTCAGCGGGTAACGAAAGGTATAGAAAGGGGACATGAGGGCCTTGGCTGCCGTTGTGTGCTGCAGCCCCAGCACATGGCCAAATTCGTGGGCTGCCACCTGCAGGAGGTCTGTGCCTGGAAAGGGGGACAGCGCATCACCCTGGCCTCTTGCCTTACAACACCCAGCTCCAGACCCAGCCTGGAGACCCACCCTGTTGTCTGTGCAGGTGTCCCATCTGGAAAATGAGGTCCCCAGCCCATACCCTGGTTGTCCCCAACTGTCCAGGTCTCATCATAGTCGAAGTGGACGTCCCCTTCTCGGTGGGTCTTGGGGAAGAAGGCATGGGCCAGGATGCCCCCAGGCCCATCAAATGGCAGGTTGTCCCCATGCCAGTATCTGCAGGTGGGTGGGGGGCAGAGTCAGTGTATGCTGGCAGGCGAGACTTGCTCCTGGAGGCATCCTGGGCTGCACGGTCACCTGGTGAAGTCGATCATGATGTCGGCGCGGCCCTCATGCACCTCGGTGAAGGTGAGCGGTGTCACCTTGCTCCACACCTGCAGGGCCTCTGCCACTGTCTGCCGCACCTGCTCCCGCACCAGCTGCCACGGGAACCGGAGGATCCTGCAGGAAGAGGAGGGCCTGGGCCATTTGGCCTGGAGTTGCCCTTGGATGCTGGGTGGGGCACATGTGTGTGCATGTGTGTTTGTGCATCCATGTCCACACACAGAAGTTGGGCCAGGTATGCTCTGGGCTCAGGTGTGCACATCTTTGTGTGGCTTTGTGTATACAGGTGTCCACAAGACCAGGAGTTCCAAGCCCCGAGTTCTGGACCTGATTGTGCCACTCCATGCAGGGAGACTCTGGCCCGACACCACTTCTTGGTGCCCAGTTCCCCACCTAGGACATTTCTGCAGCCCCCCCAGTCTCAACCCCAATGCTAGGTGACACCAGACTGCACCTCACACACTCTTCTCCCACACACACCTCCTGCCTGGAGGACATGTAAGTCTCAGCTCACACATCACCGCCCTGGGGCCAGGCCCCCCATGCCATGGGTCCCAGACTGTGATGGTGGATTTGCCCGATGATGTGCTTAGTGCCTGCCTTCCCATGAGCACAGGGTGTGTCTGCCTCATCCATATATGCAGTCTAGGGCCTACCACTCAGCAGGTCCCCAGGAGAGGCTGTGGGGTAATGGAACGCATGCCCCCGGCATGTCAACAGGGTGACCAGGCTCTTGCTGAGGTAGAGGCAAAGGCACAAAGACCCTGTGGAGGGAGGGTGCAGTGTATATGAGGGTGTCAGGACATGGATGGTGCATGGGTCAGGGACACATAGGTCTGTGAACCCCTAGGTCTAGCTCAGGTGTGAAGATGGCAGGCTCATGCACCAGCACACAGGTCAAGGCCCTGGGCCTACCTGTAGGTGAGGTCAGTCTTCTCCCAGTGCCCGCCCGACAGCACAAACCGCTTTTGTCGGTTGCGAGCGCTCAGCTCATCGGGTGGGTCAGGCACGCCACAGCGGGGTGGTCTGGGGCCACTTGTGGGCTGGGAGGACTCTTGGGTGGCAGAGGCAGGTGCCAGGCTACCGGGCAGAGCTGCATGCCAGGGTTTCGATCCCCTTTTCACGGGGTGGTGGCGGTGGGTGTCCTGGGCAGGAGAGACAAGAGGACCCAGTCAGGCCTGTAGTCCACTAGACCCATCCTGTCTGCACGCCATGCTCAACAAACCCACTGCATCACTGGGCAAACTGGGGACAAGGGACAAGGCATGCCTGGGGTCACACAGCTTGCCTGTGGCAGACACAGGCTGACCCTCTGGTTTTCTGACGCCTTATTCCAAGGCACCCAGCTGCCTGGAAGTCCCTGGCTGCCTGTCACCTAGTCTAGCCACTGGGGGCCTGGTGAGGATGAGGGGTAGGGGGATTGTGAGGCCTGCACTCTCACACACACCCAGGAATGGACTCCAGAAAACTTCCGAGGAGCCATCTCCAGACAGGGAGGTGCTGCCGGGCCAGCTCCTTCTGTTTCTGCGGCCCCTTCTCCAGCACTTCCTCTTCTCCTATGTCCACGAAGCTCAGTTGTACCAGGGTCACCCCACTCTGCCCTCCCCAGTTATGTGACCAGCTCTTCAAGTCCCTCCTGCCCGGGATGCCCACTGCCACTCCTTGGTGAGGAGGGGATGGGACACCATGGTATGGTCTCAGTCTGCTCACCTTGATAAATTGGGACATAACACCTCCCACAGGGCTGATGAGAGGAAACAAGGTAATGCATGGAAAACCCTGGGCATAGGGCGGGCACCTGGTGAGGGTACCTGTTGAACAGGGTCTGATTTCTGGCAGAGGCTGTTCTGCCCAGCCCAGGCCAGGGCCTGCACATAGTCGGCATGCAAGGCGGCCTGCCCACCCCTTCATGCTCGGGCATTAGCCCATTCTCAGCCACTTGGTGCCGGAATCTCAGGACTGCAGATGCAGACTCTGACCTGGGGCTGTGTCCTCCCGCCCGCGGCGAGTCTCCAGGGCAGAGGTCAGGCTCAGAGGGGTTGGGAGACCTCTGCGAGGTGACTCTGTGAGGGCATGGAGGGCCGAGTGAGGACCCCACAGCCCCAGGCTGGAGGCAAATTCCTCGCTCAGGACACTGTCCCAAAGCCAGACTGGCTTCCTGCAACTGCTGCACTGGAGGAGAGGGTGGAGCCTGCTGTTGCACTGGGACTCAGTGCCTGTCTGGTGCCTGCTGCGTCCCCACGGCCATTATTTGCGGTGCTGAGCTGGGCCACACAGGTCCCGCCTCACCCTTGGCCCTGGCGGCTCTCCCAGGCCCAGGCGGCCAGGGCTCTGAGCAGCCAGCCCTGGTCCTCCAGCTCCACGTCCCAGCCCCAAGAACACTCCATTGTGAGGCCTGGGACCAGTCTCCCCCTACCCCCCAACACACACACACTTTCAGAGCTTGCCTGTGGCACGGTTACCTGGCCGAGTACAGCCTCCCAGGGTCCTGGATGCCAGTGATGACAGGTTCACCGTTAATAAGCACGGACCACCTTTGCAGCTCCCACGTATCTAGGCTAGGCCCTACTCACAGCCCTGTGGGTGGCGCACACTCTTGCCAACTCTACCGTCATAAGCAACTTGCCCAGGTCACAGCTGGCAGGTGGCAGGCATCTGTGCCCACCACTTACCCTCCTGCCTGCAACCCCAGTTCTGCTCTACAGGGAGTTAGTCACCCTTCCCTTGGAGTGGGGCCGACTGGCCTCGAGGTGGCAGAAGACAAGGAATGAGATGTTATTAAGCACCTACGTTTCCCAGGCACTTTGCAGGCTAGCTCATTGAACCTCACCACCACCCAGTGAGGTGGGCAGACTGCCAAGGTCTCATACTGAGGCAGTGGGTCACCATGCCCCACCCCCAGGTCCGTGGGACAAGGCACAAGGACCTGTTCCCTCCCCTCCCCCATACTGCCCTTCAGTGTACAATGCCCCCCACCCCACAGCCTACCAGCTCTGTGTATGCCCGTGGGTAGAGCCCTTCTACTCCCCAGAGCAGCCAGCCACAGAGGGCAGGCGTGGAATGGACACACACAGCCTACGCCTGCCTTCATCCCTTCCTCTCCTTTCTGCATGAGGCCCCAGGTCCACTCCCAGACCCTGGATGGTGGCACCCTTGGAGCAGAAAGAGCTGGATCTGAGGCTTGGAAGGCCTAGTTCTACACCATAGTGATCCTGAACAGAGTGACCCTGGGCAAGTCACTGTCCTTGCTCAGCCTCAACTTCCCTACCTGTCAAATGAGGACAGGACCATGGCAAGAGCTTAAAGGGCATCCTTCCAAAACTCCTGCAGAAGCATCTGATGCACAACACACAAACATACACATACACCCAATTCTGCTCTCACCAAATCCTCTCCAGCTCCCACCACCACCTCACTTCCAGCTGCCCGAGGCATGTCTTCCCAAGGCAGGAAATGGAAAATCACAGCTAGAAGGGCACTTTTGCAACGCCTGTTCAGGGGGGAGTGGAAGCCAGAGAAGATGACACGTGCAGCGGGTTGCTGCAAGCTCGAGGCCTCTAGCCATCCCTCCACGTCACAGCTCAGTGATCTTGGCAAGGGGTGACCACGGGGCCCTAGGATGAAGGCCTTGTCAGTAGTGTTGTTTTTGGAACCCATCACTTAATGGGCCTCAGCTTCCCCATTGTTGGGATGGGACGTGTGCTCCCTGCCCCACTGGCTGCCTATGCTCCATCTTTTTGAGTCCTCTCTGGCTCTGAGCCCACACAGCCTTAGCTGCCTCACGTGGTGGTGCTCAGTCCTCCCAGGGCTGCAGGGCTGCAGTGGGGTGTTTGTGCTGGGCAGACCATCCCTGGCTTCATCTACAGCCCTAGGAGGTTGGGGAACAGACATCACCCCAATTCCTAGAGGAGGAGACAGAGCCCAGAAAGGTCAAGGACTGCCCCAGGTCATACAGTGAGTCAGGCTGGGCCTAGAGTCCAGAGCTCCCCCACTCTTCTGCTCCCAGCCTCCAAAGACAGCTAAACTCCACATTCCTGAGGGGCATTTCTTCTTCCAGGGCATTCTCTCTGCCTCCTTGGCCAGCCAGTAGCCTCTTTTGGTCTGCCCTGTAGTTGGTGCCCAACCACAGTCGTGGTCACACTCGAGGGATTTCTTGGCTGACCCAGGCTCCGGAGACAGTTCAGAGACTCGGGGTCAGCCCCTGCGTCAGCTTCCAATTCAGGAATTGGGAAGCATCTGGTAAAGGGGAGATGAGGGAGGACCCCAGGCTAGTTGTGTCCTCTCAGGCCTCAGTTTGCTGTCGGTCCAATGGGGAGAGTTAATCAAAGCTGCACCTTTGGCTAGAGTCTCTGGGTGGTGTAAACAGTTAACGCTCTTGGCTGCTAACTGGAAGGTTGGAGGTTGTTATGGATTGAATTGTCTCCCAAAAACATGTGTTGGCGTCCTGACCCCTATACCTATGGATATGATCCTATTTGGAAATAGGGTTTCTTTGTTATGTTAATGAGGCCAAATCAGCGTAGGGTGTGTCCTAAACCTAATCACTTCTGAGCCATAAGCAGCATCGGCACAGAGAAGCGAGCACAAACAGGGGAAGACAGATGCCACATGAGGATCGACAAGCAACTGAGAATGCTGGAGAGATGCTGAAGAGACAAAGATCTTCCCTCAGGGCCAACAGAGAGAGAGACTTCCCCTAGAGCTGCGCCCTGAATTTGGACTTCCAGCCTCCTAAACTGTGAGAAAATAAACCTCTGTTCGTTAAAGCCACCCACTTATGGTATTTGTGTTACAGCAGCACTAGAAAACTAAGACAGAGGTTCAAGTCTGCCCAGAGGTGCCTCGGAAGAAAGGCCTGTTGATCTACTTCTGAAAAAAAAAATGAGTTGGAGTCAACTTGACAGCAACTGGTTTAAGTGGACACCTTGGCTGTCAGCATGAGGGTCCAGGAGGTGGCCCTGAGGTGCGGATGGCAGGGCAGCACCACCACTGTGTTCTATGCAGCATCACCCGCCTCTGAGGCTCAGAGAGGTCAAGGAACCTGCCCCAGTCACATAGCAGTGGGCAGGTAGCACTGCCAAGCTTCTCAGTCGGTCTTGTCCCCTGTGCTGTGGCCCCATCTTCACCTTCCTGCCCCTCCCCTGCTGCCTGTGGGAGGGAGGGCAGCATCATCCCACCAAGCTACAGGGCTTTCATCATCCCTGAAAGCTGTGAACTGGGAAGGATAAATATTTACAGAGCCCTCTCGCCCTGCTGAGGGCAGCCTGGGGATAAACACATCTGAGAGATCCCAAATGCTCCCTGTGTGTCTGTGGGGCAACAGCTAACAGCCAGGCTCAGACCTGGCCTCAGGCTAGCCCCAGCCCCCTGCACTGGCCCTGCACGAGTGCCCAGGGTCTCCTGTGCACCAGACTGTAGGCACTGCTGTCCCCGTTTACAGCCCAAAAGGGTGAGGTTCCCAGGAGGAAGAGGGCTCACCCAGGGTCACATAGCTCAAATCCAGCTCTCTCCAATTCCCAATTCAGGGCATTCAACCACACCCAGATTGACTTCTAAGCTCTGCCCCAAGTTCTTGGGGACTGAGAGGGGGTGGGGAAGAGGCAGGGCCTCTCGACAGAGGTGCCCCTCACCTGGCCAACCCCAGCCCCCTTCCGCTCCCATGGCCAGTGTAGAGCAGGTGTGGCTGGACAAAGGGTCCTACCTGGTCAGGCTCCCTCCTCGCCAGACCAGACCCTGGGACTCCTGCTTGTCACCACTACCCCCTCACCCCCCACCTCCACTCCCATTCCTGCCAGAGCTGGCTGGACCATGCCCTCGCTGCAGGTCCAGTGGGCCAGGCACCCAGGGGCCTGTCCAAGCTCTGGCCCGAGGGCCACACTGGCTGTCGCCCACACCTTCCTCTTCTCCCTCTGCAAGTATCCTTTCTTACCTGAACTTTCTTTCTCCTCACCAGATCACACCTTTTTCTCCCTTCCCTTCCTCTGCCCACCCCGCTTCTCTCTGAGGGTCCCAACTACCCACTCTCAGCCCCCCTTCTCTCTGACCCCTTCACGGTCACACACAGACATCCTTACGCCCTGTTTCCCCCATCAGCCCCCTCTCCCCCGGCAGCCCTCTCTAGCCTCCCATCCTATTGCACACCTGCAGGTGACTCCCTGGCGGCCACGCACTTGGAGACGACATCCGCTGAGACCTGCTTTGTCCCTGCAATGAACAGAGCCCTGAAACCACGCCCTCCGCTACCTGCTCCCCAAGCGCCCCGGCTTCCCAAGCTGGTAGGGGACGTGAATCCAGCACGGCACGAAGTCCCCCGTCACCAGCCCCAGAAATCTCGCGCGGGGCACCACTTGCACATCTCCGGGACGGGATGCTCACTCTCTCTCACGCCCCTGGAGAGCTAGCCAACGTTTCGGGTAAAGGCCGAGCCGGACCCCTGGGCGCCCAGTGAGTCTGGCTCGGCCCCCAGGCGAAGTGCGGCGGCAGCAGGCACTCACCGGCGACCGCGGGGCACGGGCCAGCAGTGGCGGCGGCGGCAGCAGCAGCAGCAGCAATAGCAGCGGAAACAGCAGGACGCGCGGGCCCGCGCCGCAGAGGCCGGAGGCCGGAGCCATTCGCCCCAAGACTGCTGGGCCTGCTGGGCCGCGCTGCTGCTGCCTCTTATAGCCTGCGCCTAGCCCAGGCCGCGGGCCCCGCCCCCGCCTCGCCCCCTTTTGTTCTGAACTCGCAGGGCGGCGGCTGCTGTGGCCGGGGTGGGGGAGGCGGATGGCACGGGCTGGCGGCGAGGAGGGGCCCAGGACAGGGTCCTGCCCCGGCAGGGGGCCCCTGGAATCGGAAGACTGGTGCTGGTCAGCCCTGGCCCTACCGTGCCGCTCTGGGCCTCAGTTTCCCCCGTGCCGTGGGCGTCCAAAGTTTTAAATTTGGTGGGAGCCGAGAGGAGTCGGGTTTTCCCCTCTCCATCCATACCCCCACCTTTGGAAGAGCATCCAAGGGATCTCTCTGGTGGCCTGACCTCTAACCTCAGGCTAGAGGTCAGCCTGTGACAGGTGGTCACCCCTGCAGGCAGGTTTCCCTACTGCTTAGAGCCTGGACTGACCCATCTGAAAGATGGCACAATAGCCCCTGTCCAGTCTCCCTTACAGGAGGATAAAGTTTAACAGGGCTAAGGAAAGAGATATCAAAATGTGCCCCAGGGGAAACTGAGGCATATGGCTCAGACTGGCCAAGATCTCAGCTTGGAACAGTAGAACCGTAGACAACGTACAGATGGGGAAACTGAGGCCACATGAAGGAGGGGCCAGGTCAGGCTTTTCTATACCAACAGGCAAGTGGAGGAAGATTTGGAAGCCCCTCTAGTTGGTCTAATGTGGGGGAGGGTACTGGAAGCAGAAGGCTGCATGTGTTTGGGTTGGGGAGGGGGGGTCGCACTCGGGGGTGTCTGACTGAGTCAGGGCCTCACCCACAATAGGCCCCTATTGCTCCCATGGCCTCAGGGCCCACCTCCTGCAACCAGAGGGAGAGGAGGTGAGAATCCACACAGACTCTGCTGGAAGGGTACCTCCAGTTTGGGCTGCCCAACTTTGCTGGCACACTCCCTGTGATGGCCAGGGGGCTTCACCACCTCCCTAGGCCATTTGCTCCATCATGGGTGGCCTTTGTAGTGCCAACATCCAGGCAGTGGCTCTACCTTAGTGGGCAGATCTTGAGAGCTGCTGCAAGGGGTGAGCATCCAGGCTGGGCCAAGGGAGTGAGACAGGAGGGAGGGCAGAGGGAGTAGCCCAGTGAGTCTTCACAACTTCTCCACGAAGACCCAGAAGCTCAGACAGGATGGTGGTTCAGTGGTAGAATTCTTGCCTTCCACGCCAGAGACGAGGCTTCCATTCCTAGCCAATGCACCTTAGGCGTAGCTAACATCTGTCTGTCAGTGGAGGCTTTCGTGGTTATGACACTGAGCAGGTTTCAGTGGAGCTTCCAGACTAAGATGAACTAGGAGGAAAGTCTTGGCGGTCTACTTCCAAAAATCAGCTGATGAAAACACTATGGATCACAATGGCTGCATCCAAAATCAATCATGGGGATGGTGCAGGACTGGGCAGCATTTTGTCATGTTGTGCATGAGCTTACCGTTTGAGTCAGGGGCCATTAGCAATCTTTCTTTTTTTTGCAGTTTCATATGGAAAATCTTTTTTTTTGTTGTGCTTTAGATGAAAGTTTAGAGCTCAAGTTAGTTTCTCATGCAAAAATTTATGCACATATTGTTATGTGACACTAGTTGCAATCCCTGTAATAGGACAGCACACTCCCCCTTTCCACCCTGGATTTCCCCTGTCCATTCAACCTGCTCCTATCGCTTTCTGCTTATTCATCCCACCTCCGGACAGGAACTGCCCGTTTAGTTTCGTGTATCTACTTGAACTAAGAAGCATACGCTTCACGAGTATTATTTTATGTTTCATAGTCCAGTCTAATCTTTGTCTGAAGAGTTGCCTTCGGGAATGGTTTTAGTTCTGGGTTGACAGAGAGTCTCAGGGACATGTCTTCTGGGGTTCCTCCAGTCTCAGTCAGACCATTTAGTCTGGTCTTTTTACTAGAATTTGAGTTCTGCACCCCACTTTTCTCCTGCTCCGTCAGGGACTCTCTGTTGTGTTCCTTGTCAGGGCAGTCATTGGTGGTAGTCGGGCACCATCTAGTTCTTCTGGTCTCAGGCTGATGAAGTCTCTAGTTTATTGTGGCCCTTTCTGTCTCTTGGGCTAATACTTCCCTTGTGTCTTTGGTGTTCTTCATTCTCTTTTGCTCCAGGTAGGTTGGGACCAATTGATGCATCTTAGATGGCCACTTGCTAACTTTTAAGACCCCCAGATGCCACTCACCAAAGTAGGATGCAGAACATTTTCTTTATGAACTTTGTTATGCCAATTGACCTAGGTGCCCCCGCCAAAACCATGGTCTCCAGACCCCCGCCCCTGCTACTCTGTTCCTCAAAGTGTTTGGTTGTATTCAGGAAACTTCTATGCTTTTGGTTTAGTCCAGTTGTGCTGATTTCCCCTGTATTGTGTGTTGTCCTCCCTTCACCTAAGATAATTCTTGTGTACTATCTAGTTAGTGAATTCTCCTCTCCCTCCCTCCCCGTCCCCTTAACCATCAAAGAATGTTTTCTTTTGTGTTTAAACCTTTTCCTGAGTTCTTATAATAGTGGTCTCATACAATATTTGTCCTTTTGTGACTGACTCAGCATAATGCATTCCAGATTCATACATGTTGTGAGATGTTTCACAGATTCATCATTGTTTTTTATTGTTGCGGAGTATTCCATTGCGTGAATATACCATAATTTGTTTATCCCTTCGTCCGTTGATGGGCACCTACATTGTTTCTATCTTTTTGCTACTGTGATCAGTGCTGCAATGAACATGGGTGTGCATATATCTATTCGTGTGATGGCCCTTATTTCTCTAGGATATATTCCAAGGAGCAGGCTTGCTGGATCGTATGGTACTTCTATTTCAAGCTTTTTAAGGAAGCACCAAATCGATTTCCAAAGTGGTTGTACGATTTTACATTCTCACCAGCAGTGTATAAGTGTTCCAGTCTCTCCACAACCTCATCAGAGTTTATTATTTTGTGTTTTTTGGATTAATGCTAGTCTTGTTGGGGTGAGATGGTATCTCATTGTAGTTTTGATTAGCATTTCTGTAATGGCTAATGATCATGAGCATTTCCTCATGTATCTGTTAGCTGCCTGAATGTCTTCTTTAGTGAAGTGCCTGTTCATATTCTTTGCCCATTTGTTAATTGGGTTATTTGTCTTTTTGCGGTTGAAGTTTTGCAGTATCTTGTAGATTTTAAAGATTAGACCCTGATCGGATATGTCGTAGACAAATTTTTTCCCCCAGTCTGTAGGTTGTCTTTTTACTCTTTTGGTGAAGTCTTTTGATGAGCGTCTAATTGTTTGATTTTTAGGAGCTTCCAGTTATTTAGTTTCTCTTCTGGTGTTTGTGCATTGTTAATTATGTTTTGTATTCTGTTTATGCCATGTATTAGGGCTCCTAACATTGTCCCTATTTTTTCTTCCAAGATCTTCATTGTTTTAGACTATATATTTAGGTCTTTGATTCATTTTAAGTTTTTGTGCATGGTGTGAAGTATGGGTTTCATTCTATTTTTTTGCAGATGGATATCCAGTTATGCTGGCACCATTTGTTAAAGAGACTGTTTTTCCCCCAATTAACAGATCTTGGGCCTTTGTCAAATATCAGCTGCTCATAGGTGGATGAATTTATGTCTGGATTCTCAATTCTGTTCCACTGGTCTGAATTTGTAGTGTTACCAGTACCAGTCTGTTTTGACTACCGTAGTGGTATAATAGGTTCTAAAATCAGGTAGTGTGAGGCTTCCCACTTTGTTCTTCTTCTTCAGTAATTGTTTGCTTATCTGGGGCCTCTTCTTTTTCCATATGAAGTTGGTGATTTGTTTCTCTATCATTAAAAAATGTCGTTGGAATTTGGAGTGGGATTGCATTGTATCTGTAGATCGCTTTGGGTAGAATTGACATTTTCACGATGTTGAGTCTTCCCATCCATGATTAAGGTATGTTTTTCCATTTATGCAGGTCTCTGTTGGTTTCTTGTAGTAGTGTCTTGTAGTTTTCTTTGTATAGGTCTTTTACGTCTCTGGTTAGACTGAGTGGGAATCATACCAAGTATGCAAGAATGGTTCAACATTACAAAATCAATCAACGTAATCCACCACATAAAATAAGAGAAAAGAAAAAAATCATATGATCATCTCAATCAATGCAGAAAAGGCATTCAACAAAGTCCAACACCCATTCCTGATAAAAGCTCTCAATAAAATAGGTATAGAAGGGAAATTCCTCAACATTATAGGGGCATGTCTACAAAACCAAGAGCCAGCATCATTCTTTTCATCGTACAGATCTTTTATGTCTCTGGTTAGATTTATTCCTAAGTATTTTATCTTCTTGGTGGCTACTGTAAGTGGTATTGATTTGGTGATTTCCTCTTGGAAGTTCTCTTTGTTGGTGTACAGGAATCCAACCGATTTTTGTATGTTTATCTTGTATCCTGATACTTTGTTGAAATCTTCTATTAGTTCCAGTAGTTTTCTTGTGGATTCTTTGGGGTTTTCTGTGTATAAAATTGTATCATCTGCAAATAGGTATACTTTTACTTCTTCATTACCAACTTGGATGCCCTTTGTTTCTTTTTCTAGCCTAATTGGTCTGGCTAGGACCTCCAGCACAGTGTTAATAAGAGTAGTGATAAAGGGCATCCTTGTCTGTGCCATTCTCAAGGGGAATGCTTTCAGACTGTCTCCATTTAGGATGATGTTGGCTGTTGGCTTTGTATAAATGCCCTTTATTATGTTGAGGAATTTCTCTTCTTCCTATTTTGCTGAGAGTTTTTATCAGGAATGGCTGTTGGACTTTGTCAAATGTCTTTTCTGCATCAATCGATGAGATCATGTGGTTCTTGTGTTTTGTTTTATTAATGGGATGGATTGCATTGATTGTTTTTCTAATGTTGAACCATCCCTGCATACCTGGTATGAATCCCACTTGGTCATGGTGAATCATTTTTTTTGATATGTTGCT